ACACAATGAAAAATATCTTAAAGAAACTGAATATCATTTACCGGTCAAATTGAGTAACATTTGGGCAACATTAGTAAGTATTTGCAATCAAATACTTTTCAAATGTGTTGATGTCATCTACGTTGGTCAGAACCAACTCCACACCACTTTTGTCGCAATAAACTGTATTATTCCCAGCGACTGAATGTAATTTACTCCCATAGAGTCCCCTCCATAATTTGGGCCATTTGAGTCCACACCCTTTCTGATCTATAGCAGGTCGCGCAAAGTATTTGTCGCCCTCTTTTCGGACTACTATTTTAGTTTTACCCATCGACGCCATTTCACATAAAGTACACCAATCAGCATCATCGTCTTCAATTACTCTGATACTCTGACTGAATGACTCGGGTGGATACTTCTGAGCAGTTGGTCTCCACGAGAAGTACAACCGATAGAACGAATCCAACAATGCACAACTCGCGACTTTGACCGCATTGAAAAAACCCTTTGACCGCGAACTGTTCATGGTACTTATCGTCGACCGCAGTGATCCAAATTCAAAGCAATAAAGGCTGTTCACGGTTTGTGGAATACCATTGTCCTCGCCATCTATAGAAACAAAGAAGAAGTAATACCACTTATTCAGAAACCAGTCGACCTCTTTATCATCCTTCAATGGGTCGAATGAGGGTTCCGATGAAATATGACTGATGACTTCTTTCCCGTAGTGTTTGAGAATCAACCCACTCGAACTTAATTTGACCACAGAAGTCTCGTCCCAGGTCTCTGAAAACCCTCGCTGGTGGTGGTCGTACCTTCGAAGCTTGTGGTTGTATACACGACCGACGTCTAGGACCAAATCACACGAAGATAGAAGTGTCATGTCACGGGATCGAAAAACAGTGAGATTGTTATATTCAGTGGTCAGTTGTAATAATGCAACGCCGGTTGTCTCGTCGATGTGAAATTGTCCGTCATGGGTACCAACTCGCTTTTGCATTGTTTTATATATTCAAGTTTAGTAGGTTTTATTAGATAGAGTAAAGTAAATAAGTATAACGTTCTAATTAATTATATAGATAGAATAAATATGGTTTAATTATAGTAAAAATGTATCGTGTTTTTACTATATCTTTTCTCTTAAAAATAGAAGAAATTCCACACCTTTCCAATCAAAAGAACTGGAATTGAAAGGAATCATGGACTATAAGGACTTGGTTGATATACTAACTGAAGAGAAT